ATGTTGATCTGTCCATTTTAACATCACTAAGGTGATGATGATCTTCATTTCAGGGTGACTTGGGAAGCAAGCTTCGAAAGAAAGGGCGTTTATCGCCGTCAAAAGTTTTAAGATTTGCCTTCGACATTGCCAGGGGAATGAATTACCTTCATGAATTTAAACCAGACCCTATCATCCACTGCAGTTTACAGCCAAAGTAAGGGAACCACTACAGAAGTTAACAAAATGCCTGCAGAATTTTAAGGTGATGAACTGTCCTTTAATATTTGAAATTTTAAGGTGCCAGAAATATTTTGCTGGATAGTGGTGGTCAGTTGAAGATAGCCGGATTTGGTTTGTTGAGATTGTCAAAATTATCCGCCGACAAGGTGAAATTAGCACGTCCAGACGAACAACTCGATCCACCGAGTATGTGATAAGAAATCTTCCTTCTGGATTTTCGGTACATTCATTACAAGTACAATACATGTAGTCTTCCAGCTAACAGTTGAACTACTAACGAGTTGTTGTTTTTTTTTTATTGTAGATATATATATGGCACCAGAAATTCGGAAAAATATGATATTTGATCGAAGTGTCGATGCATATTCTTTCGGTGTTATGCTATATGAGGTACATGGTATCCCAAAGAGTTCCATTCCTTGTGAATACCGGGATTTTCCAGGGTATTGACTGCTTTTCTTATATGTTCCTATATGAATTCAGATGACTGAAGGGGGAGTGCCTTTTCGATCTAAGCCTGTCGAAGAGGAAGTGAAATTGATGCGTTTCGAACAACAGAGACCGCCACTCAAGACCAAATCGAAAAGTTATCCTCCGGAATTAAGAGAGTAAGTCTAGGAGCTAATAGATAGTCTCTCGTCTAACCAGGAAAAAGTGCAGTTATCTTGTATAATAAATACTACATGCTTACAAATATTCTAAGCTTTACTCCTATTACCATATATGAACAGGCTTATTGAAGAATGCTGGGATCCAGAACCTCTTGTAAGACCGACATTTTCGGAAATCATCGTACGATTAGACAAAATAGTTTCGGGTTGCACGAAACAAGGGTGGTGGAAAGACACTTTCAAGCTTCCTTGGTATGCTCTGATCACCGAAGTTTTCGTTCACCGGTAGTTTGTACTTGTTACATATGAATGAAATGTTATTTGGAGTACCATGACATATCATGAACTCAAAATTTCCCTTTCAAATACTATTATAATCTATGTTGCTTGGACTCGGGTTTAAGGCGATGGTGGTAGACTTGGATTTATCCAAGAAACATAAATCAGAGTCTGTTGAAGACCTCCATTGCTCCTACTCTTCCGAGTTCTGAGTTCTAATGCATTCTTATCTTTGCAGGAAATAAGGGGAAGGATCATTAACTCTGAAACCGGACAAAGATTTCAAGTTCGAGTTCAAGCTCGAATTTTGGAAGCTTCATCTTAAAGAATGTATGATGTAGTAATACTTTCCAGCAGAGTACAAAACCACGTTGTCATTGAAAGAAAATGATGAACTCCCCCTCCCTGTCTCTTCTTTTTTTTGGTCCCTTTCTTTTTTGTGTACAACAGCTTGCATAATCATCTTTCCAATGGAATTATTAATCCCAAGTCCTTGGATTATCACAATATGATCCCTTTAATTAAATTATACTTCAAGAGCCAATAATGCAAAGCTATAACATTTCATTATATACTCGAATCAACAATTCAACCCTAAGAAGTCCTATTAATCGAGTATACACGAAATTGATTAAAAATATAGTTATTGCAAAGCTAAGCATGGGGTTTGCATGTAAGTTGAGCTGTAAACTCAATTATGTTGTTGTCGGAGCTTCCATCTTCACTGATAGCCTGTGTTGCTAATTTCTTCCAAATCATTGCATTCTTCTTTAGTTCTTCACTTGAATCTCCTTCCATGACTTCCCTTATACATCTCTCTATCTCTTCTTTGCCGATGATTCCTTTTCCATCAACCTCGACTCTGATCCCCACTCGCCGTACATCCCACAATGAATTTAGCATTCGTCATTTGATCCGACCATTGCGGCAGCGCCACCATAGGCACCCCCAAGCTCAATGCTTCCATCGTCGAGTTCCAACCGCAGTGACTCATAAAGCACCCCACAGATTTATGACTCAGCACTTCCAGTTGAGGGCTCCATGAAACTACAAGCCCCTTCTCTGAAGTTTCTTCCATGAAGTTGGCCGGAATCTTTCTCTGTTCAGATACTCTGACGACCCATAATAAGTTTCTTCCGCTTCTCTTTAACCCATTGCTAACTCCTCCATTTGATCCCCTCCTGGGGCCGCCAAGCTTCCGAATGATACATAAAAGACTGAGCCGGTTTGCTTAGAGTTCAACCAGTTGGCACAAATGTCTAACTCGGGCTTGAATAAGTGAATGCCGTAACGTTATCGTCATCAACTCTGTAGTCTAGGTACTTGGATGGAACCGTGGGTCCGGTTGTCTTGATCGGCCTCTGGTACGCCATTCACTTTACAACCTGTTCGACTAAACTTAATAAGCTCTAGTGCAATTAAACCCATTAGATTATAAAGTGATCAGTAAGTACAGATTACCTCATTTTCCAAGCTTGTGAACGTATTAAAGAAAACCCAGTCGGCTTTCTTGAAGCTGGAGAATTGATTAGTGAAAAGGTCCGTTAATGTCGGATAAGCTTTTATGTCAGAAACTAAAGATGGAAAGTCGTGAGGACGAAGCAAAGGCAAGCCCGCCATGGACAGACAAGCCTCAACAATGGGAACCTTAAGCAACCCTTGGTGGAGATTGTAGTAGATACTACTGACAGCACAAGAAAAAGTGAAGAATTCAGCTCCATAAACGCCTTGCTGCTTAGCTATATCCAGCGCCCATGGTAAGACCGAGTCGTAAACGAGGCAACTCGCTGCGTTCTCAGACTTTGACATGCCGAGTCTAGCCATGATTTGTGGTAATCTCAAGGTGACAACGGCTTCGAGGCGGCCGAGGTAATCGTCGATGCTTTTCTCCATAACGCTATCGGCTCCGAGGTCGTCGAATACGGGCTCGAGCTTAACGGAACCGTTGGCTTTGATTTCCATGGGTATGTTGCCACAGAAGGTAACGAGTGAGATTTGGAGTCCTTTTGGAAGCCAGGCGTTTTACGAATTGTAGCATCGGGTTGATGTGGCCTTGAGTTGGGAAAGGCAATACCAGGACCTGGGTTCCCCTAACATTTTCTTATTCATATCAGATACTCAGCTCTTTCCCTCAATATATATAGCACGAGACAACTTCATTATCTTTATAATTATATCTTGTTTAACCAAGTTAATCTTTATTTTAAATAGTTAGGGGCTCTTTGTTTGTCTCTTAATAGAATCATTCAGCGCTGAATGCTGAACGCGTTTGTTTTGTACCTTTGAATGATTCAGTACTGACTGATTCAGCAAAACAGTGTTGAATGATTCAGCAAAGAAGTACGTTCTGAATCATTCAGAGCCAGTTATCAAACAACATGTCACATTCAAAGCCAAACTATTCAGAGCCTCTGAATCATTCAATATTTAAATCATTCGACGCTTAATCATTCTGAAGTAAACAAACAACCCCTTAATCTTTTAAAAATATTGATATTGAATTGACCATTTACTTATTGCCTAACTCTCCTCCCTAATCTCGTACTAATGCAGTTTAAATATCTTGTAATAACAAAAAAGCCTAGTTTGTATATTTTTTTTTTGTCTTTTTTATCAGTGACAACATTAATTTTATTATTGATTGTCGACCGTTAATATTTTTTATTGTATTTTTCTTTTTATATCGTATCTTTATTTTATTTTCTTTTATTTTTTATTTTCGGTAAGTCTGTCTGTATCAAACGTTTTCATCTGTTTTTATGACACGTTTTCTTATGTTTTTTGATATGTTTTTCGGTTCTTTGGCCGATTTTTAGTTTATCTTTTTCCAATGATTGATTTGACATCGTCACAACTGATTAAGATGATGCTTATATGATATCTTGTTGATCTTCTTTGCTTTGGATCTCGGATTGGATTTTGATACCCGATTTACGTTCATGGATAGCTTTTCAAGTCGCTCGAGTTTGATTTAGGTTTGTCGGTGGTCTTTCAATAGTTTGATCTACTTTTGAGTTTCGTTTGCATATGCGATCAGATTTATTTGTATCTATTTTTTGAGTTTCTTGATTAAATTTTTAATCTTTTCTTGTATGGTGTTTATGTGATCTTAAGTTGCTAGTTTTGTTTCAATGATTATAGGAAATTTCCTAATTATATGCTTAATTTATCATTGTCATTGTAAATCTTATATGCATGCATGATATCTATAAAATTATTTAAACTCGTGATCAAATTTAGTATCAACTAATCACTAGTTCAATTTAAAATTATTAAAACTTTTTTTTTCATTTAAACAATTAATTTATTATAATATATTTATCAAATAGTTTACTTAAAAGATTATATAAAATATTATCTTTCACTTGTATTGAGGTGTGATGAAATCTAGTTTAAGTTAATAGTATGTCCATAAAATTTCTTATAGAAAAATTATTCGAGTTAATCAATCATCTGTTGATCTAATATGATAAGACATTAAGTCACTTAATAAGATTGTTATGATATTGTGAATAAAAAACCGAGTTGAGAGGGTTGTTTCCAAACACCGGTGGAAGATCAGAGCAATTTGTTATTTGTTTGCTAAGGCTTGGCCAAGTATCGGAGAAACTGGCGATGGTGTAGTGGTGTTAATCGTCGATGTTGATATTAGAGCTTTCATCTTCAAATTATTTGTGTTGACAAGCTTATGTTTGAACTGCCTGTGATTAGGCTTTGAAGGTAAGCTCTTAAAGAATTGCAGCATTTGGTATAGGCAAATTTTGTGTTGGAAATGCAATTTTAGAATGAACACTGAAGGCTTAATGATTTTTATTGTTGTAGACAGGGCATCCCTCTTTTCTGTTCAAAAAACTACGAGTATCGGAAACGATGATTGCATAAGTCGAATGAACAAAGTTCCGGAATTACCATTTTATGATCGCTTATATCGAATGAATGAAGTTCCTGATCTACCATTTTAAGAGTACTAACCCTATTTACATTGTGCCAGTATTGTAGAAACAAATACATCAATGTTCTTGTCTGAACTTCCACCTTCAGACACTGCTTCAACCGCCAATTCCTTCCATTTCTGAGCATTTCTTTCATTGCTTTCCCTTTCTCCCCTTCCATAACCTGTCTAATGCAACCCTCAATTTCATCTCGGCTCACAATACCATCCTCTCCGACCGCAACTCGAACCCCAACCTTCCATACGTCCTCAACCAGCTTAGCATCTGTGGTTTGGTCTGTCCATTGTGGCATTGCCACCATCGGCACACCCAAACACAGAGCTTCGATCGTCGAGTTCCACCCACAATGCGTGAAAAAGCACCCCACGGCCTCGTGTGCAAGCACTTTGGTTTGGGGAATCCAGTTAGCTATCAAGGCTTTATCACCCATTTCTTCGGCAAACCAGTCCGGGACTTTGGCCATCTCCGATAATCGAACCACCCACAAGAAATCAAACCCCGTTTGCTTTAAACCCCTTGACAATTCTTCCATTTGGTCAATGGATAGGTTGGCCATGCTGCCAAACGAGACGTAAACGACTGATCTTGGTTTCTTGGAGGTCAGCCAATGAGTACTGGTGGAGTCTAGTTTGAACAGATTAAGGTCATAATCGTTGTCGTTTCTGAGTCTTTGATCTAAATACATGGAGGGGATTGTCGGTCCGATCGTTAACAGTGACGGAGTCATCACTTTCGACATCGAGTCAACAACCTGTTCAACCAGATGGATCAAGGTAAATCAACCAGACTTTGCAACTATTAATATTGCTTACATATTTGCTTACGACAAGCCTGAGAAGTACAATGCCAGTTCATAGAAAATAAAACGTCATCATCGGTTTGGCCTTAAGTGAGCTCGAACATTAAAACTGAAACTCAGTTGAGTTCGAGCAGAGCTTTACGCCTCGAATTTGAACTTGAGTTCAACTTTTTTCGGCTCGGTTTGATTAAACCTTCTTACCATATACTTAATGTGATTAAATTAACTAACCTCTTGTTCTAACTTGTAGAAGGTGTTGACTAGAATGAAATCAGCTTGGTCTGCATTAGAGAACTGACTCAACACCATCTCAAAATAAGACGGATACGAGCCAGCGACGTAGATGAACGATGGCATGTCTCGAAGCTCAAGCAACGGCAAACCGGGGATGGTGATCGGCACCGCAGATGACGAAACCGGAAGACTCAAAAGCCCATGGTGAGCATAGTAATATATGTAATCCACGGCACATGCCTGCGTGAAAAAAGCAGCCCCGACGATGCCAAACTGCTTGGCAACATCGAGAGCCCATGGAAGGAAAGCGTCATAGATTATGCAGTCGATGGGATGGGGTGAGTTTCTGTATTTTACGACGAGTTCGGTTAACGTTCTTGACCCGGCATCTCGCAACCGTACGAGGTAATCGCCCACGCTCTTGGCTTCCGAGAATCCACCTTCATCGCAGCCATCCGATATAGTGTCGAAATCGATCTCGGAGCCGATTAACTCGGGTTTCATGGTTTGGGAGATGAAGATGGTGGTGACAAAGGTTGCTTTGAGTCCTTTGGAGGATAAGCGCTTGGAGAATTGGAGCATTGGGTTAATATGGCCTTGGCTTGGGTAAGGAATGGCCAATACATGGACTCTGTTAGTAGCTTTATTCTCCATTTCCCTCCTCATGATATTCAATGATATTGGAATAAGATATTTATAAAGGAAACAATGAATAATCAATACATATAGTACCGAAAATTAATGTAGTCGGTTGAATATTAATTGCATTAGGTTCACCATTATTTTTGGAGGAGATCTAATTTATAATTTTCGTCTCTATTATATTTTTGTATCAATTTAACTCTCAAAATTATTTAATTGTATCATTCTATATCATTCTTCTAACTTAAAATCTTAAATTATAAACTCTAAATTAATACAAAAATAAGATAATGTGAAAATGATAAAATACATCTATTACATAGGCAAAAATTACCGTTTTGCCAATATTAATTAACCTCGCCATGTAATGAGTGATTTGTAAAGTTTTTGGCTAATTATCTTATTAGTCACTAAATTATTAGGTGTGTTCTATTTTAGTTATCAAACTAAAAATATTGTAAATTTAGTCACTAACCTTCCACTTTAGTTTCAATTTGATCATTGACCATTAAATTGAAAACCGAAGTCATTTTTTAATTAAAATAATCAAACATTTAGTCTTAACACTTACATATCCTATATAATTATTTTTAATTTTAAATAATTTAATAAATCTAGTCTTTATGTTCATAAATTCTATCAATTTAGATCTCTACACTTACTAGTTTACCCTTCACGTTGATAATGCCCATTAATTTGATCCTAATCTAAAATGTTATAATTATAAAAGTTCAAAAAGCATAAAAGTTAAAATAAACATAAAATTACTACAATATTTTAAAACTTCAAAAATCAATTTGGTCCTTTAATTTATTTCTATTTTGAAAGTTCTTTGTACTATTATATAATATTTTAAACCTATCACCCAAAACCTCATGGATCTTACAGACCTAAATCAAAACCCTAATTGATGTCCAACGCTATAATATCAAACTATCTCTTTAAACAGAATCCATATCCATCACAAAACCTATCACCAAACTGCACACAAAAATTAATTAGGAAAAAAGGACATGTTAGAAGAATGAAGATCTAGGAGCCTTCAAAAGAGAGAGGGGCTAAATGCATAATTATACCAATTAAAAATTGACTCCGTTATCAATTTAATGGTTAATGGTTAAATTGAAACTAAAGTATAACATTGGTGACTAAATTTACAAGATCTTTTAGTTTGATGACTGAAATAGAACACACCCGATAATCAAATGAGTAACATAGTAGTTTACCCTAAATTCTATGGTTAATTCTTAAATTATGATATTATTTTTAAAAATGGTTTACGTTTATTAAGCATGATGTATTGGTATATTATATACCGTGGCGGAGCCGCACCTTAGTGAGGATGAGCTGAAATCCGAATTTTCTTCGATTAGTTACTTATTTTATTGATTGTGTCCACTTGAAATTTTTTGTGTCCATCTTGAAATTTGGGTTGTCTTCGATTATTTACTTATTTTACGAATGATACCCACCCTAGAATTTTATTTGTACCTATCTCATTTAAAAATTTTATGTTGTTATCATATGTGTGCTCACCCTAAAAGATATTTCTGGAACTGCATTGATTATTTTAGACAATACTTTTGAATAGTCCCCAGTGGGGTGATCTTCAATCCCACGAAATTGGAATCGGATAAAGAAATCATGTGTCCAACCTTTACACCAAACAGCAATACCGTGTGGTCCATTTATATGATATTTGCTTGGTCCTATTTTGGCCATGCAATATATAACAATTTTTTTTTTTGAAATTTTTTAAAATTTCAAGTGATTGGGAAAGATATGTTTTTAACGAAAAAGTTAGAATTTTGTTTAACATCTTTATAATTCCGTCCATTTCCGTGCAATACCTTTCATTTGTGCTGCGACTACTGACTAGTCTAGTGCATCCCTCTATCTCATATCGGCTCACAATCCCATCCTGGTCGACCTTAACTCTAAACTCGACCTTCCAAACATCTTGGACCAGCTTACCAACCGTGGCTTGGTGGTTCTGGGATGGGATTGTCAACAATGGGGGATTCATCACTTCCGACACCGCCTGTGTGTGTAAATCAGTTGGAACCAACGAAAAAGACTAAAACAGTCAATTAATTGCTTACATATTTGCTTACGCTAAACTTGAAAATTGCATGCCACTTCCTACAACACAAGTTCTCATCATCTCCATCACTTCCGTCTATATTTTAAATTTCCTTTTACAAGTTAATCCAGCGCAAGTGATTCAACTTACACTCCCCAAGATACTCTGCTGCAGGTGTGAACCTTGAGGCCCCATAATTCCTACTATATTACGTACAACAACAAATAATAAACTCCAACTCTACCTTAAATAAATCCATTTTTTTTATCTCTAATTAACTTCCAATGTCCAAAATTGAAAACAGCTCAAGTTTAAGCCAACCTTTTAGACTTGAACTTCAAGTAACTCGAGATTTTAACCACTTGAACTTGGTTAGAAACCATATTATACGTAGTTAAAAGTAAACTAACTTTCCACTTGTAGAAGGTAGTTACAAGAATGAAACCGGCTTTGTCTGCATTAGAGAACTGATTCAACACTAACTCCAAATAAGATGGATATAAGCTAGCGGCATGGATGAGCGACTAAATGTCTCGAGGCTCATGTAACGGCAAACCGGGGATACCGACGACAAAACCTGAGGACTCAAAAGCCCATGTGAGCATTGTAAAATATGTAATTCACGGCACATACATGCGTAAAAACCGGCTCCGATGATGCCGAATTACTTGGCAACATTGAGAGCCCATGGAAGGAAAGCGTAGTATATTGTGCAGTCAATGGGATGGGGTGAGTTTTGGTACTGTATGACGAGTTTGGTCCGTCCAACCACTTCAGGAATAGTAATAACTTTCCCAGGAAAGAGCCTTTGGTTCCTCGCCTTCCATATCATTGCTATATGATAGTTCCAAGCCAACTTCAGCACCCAAGCTCGAAACGACTTACCCTTCAAATTCCTACAAGCCCATCGGAGTTCACCCTCCCAGCTCATAACCGCCCTATTAACCTGGCAAAGGTCAAGGATATCCTGCTAAACCAAGCGAGACATCTCGCATTCAAAGAACAAATGATCTCTAGTTTCCTCATTATTCGCACATAGACCACAACCACCTTCAATGTCAAGGCCAAAGGAAATAAGTCTACTTCTAGTAGGCAACCTATTCAACACGGCCATCCAAGCAATGAGTTTTAGAGATATGTCCCAGATGCCAGATCAAACGCTCCCAAGGAACCTTTTACTTCTTATTCCGATTCTCCCTACATATCATCGATAACGACGGAAGAGTCAATAACCCTTGCACGGAACCCGCCTTGCCCCTAAGATGCAACAATGATCTCCAAGTCCAACTACAATGTTGAGGACAAGAGAGGTTCCAAAAGGAATTGTTCTTGATAATGTAAGAATGAATCCAAGCAACCCAAATTGAGCTATCCTTCAACAAAACCTTTCTAATAAGGGACAAAAAAACAACACAAAACCCTGTTAATGTGCACCCAGAGTATTTCTAATATTGTACCGCTCTATTTATATTTGTTTTATTTAGAAGCTTGTTTAAAAATATTTTATCATATTAAAGTTATTTGGATTATTTTAATTATAGTTGTAATTGTTTTCATGTAACACTATTTAATTATGTGATTAAATTTAATAAAAAATAATTATTTTATTGTTAAAATATGTGTAGGAGTTGGGCCTGGTGAACATGAATTGGCCTGACCCGAGCAAGTTGGATGGATAGTCCAAGTTTAAATTCGATTGATATTCCTTCTAATTTCTTTACTCATCGAATTTGTTTCCATAATTCTCCTTTCGACGGCTTCAATTGGGTATGTTTTTTTCCCTCTCAGCTCTACACTTCAATATATTTTCAATGGTTTTAGGGTTAATTGCACCATTTGTTCAAGTTGTTATTTGCTAGGGTTACGTTCAACTTTCTTCAATCTTATACAGGATCTGATTATAGGAGATTTAAATTAGGCGTATTCGAGGAGCGGGTAATTGATTTGGCTGATTTTAGCATCCCGAATCTGAAAACAGAATGGCGTTGAAGTTTCTGAACAAGAAAGGATGGCATACTGGAAGTTTGAGGAACATCGAAAACGTGTGGAAAGCGGAACAAAAGCATGAGGCTGAGCAGAAGAAATTGGAAGAGCTTCGCAAGCAGATTCATGAGGAGAGGGAACGCTCAGAGTTTCGTCTTCTCCAGGAACAAGCCGGCCTTGTCCCGTGCGTCCATTTCCCTGGTTTTCCCCGTTTTATCTTTCGAAATTAGGGTTAGGGTTTTAGTTTGAATTATTTTTTAATCCAATTCTGCAGGAAGCAGGAGAGGTTGGATTTCCTTTACGATTCTGGGCTTGCGGTTGGGAAAGGCGCCAGTAGCTCCGCAGCTGGAGGCAGCGGTGAAGGTTTTAAGGCTCTTGAAGAGGCTCTCCCTTCGTCTAAGGCTACGGATTCCTCAGCCAACCAGTCTTCTGCGCCGGGTGCCTTGTTCGAGGACAAGCCTCACTCGGCCAATGATGCCTGGCGCAAGCTCCATTCGGATCCCTTGCTTATGATTCGCCAGCGCGAGCAAGATGCCCTTGCCCGCATCAAGAACAACCCCGTCCAAATGGCAATGATTCGTAAATCAGTATGTTATCTATCTACTCTATTTCTCTAGCAGATTAAGTAGGGGTAGGGAATATGATTATATATTAAGTAGCGGTAGGGAACCCATCAATAGTTGCAATTACTTTTTGTATTGTATAATTCAATGAGATTAACCATTGCAATTACTAATCAGACTTCTGTTTCCGATTAATGGTTTAACAGGTTGTAGAAAAGAAGAAAAAGGAAAAATCCCCCGATCATAAGGAACACCGTAAGAAGCACCGGCAAAGTAGTTCCAAGCATAAAAAACATTCATCACGTCTTTCAGATTCTGAAGATCACATTTCTAAGGAGGACAAAAGAAATAGAGATCACCATCGCAAGAGGTCAGATAAAGAGGGCTGCTATCGCAGAACTGAGTCAGACTCAGAAGATGAATTGAAGGAAGCAGAAAGCCGAGAGAGGAGTTTCCACGGGAAGAAATATAGATATGAGGATCAAGATGATGTTAAGAGGAACCATGACAAATCTAAGCGTGATAAATATTCTACTCAAGCTCCACGAAGTCTTGATGCTGATAAAAATCATGAAAAAGTTGGACCAGCTTCTGACCATCTCAAGACGTCAGATAAAGAGGGCAACTATCGCAGAATTGAGTCAGACTCAGAAGATGAATTGAAGGAAGCAGAGAGTCGAGAGAAGAATCGCCGCAGGCAGAAATACAAATATGATGATCGTGATGATATTAAAAGGAACCATGATAAGTCTAAGCACAGTAAATATTCTTCTCAAGCTCCACGAAGGATTGAAGCAGATAAAAATCAAGAGAAAGATGGACCATCTTCTGACCATAGAGACATTGCAACTCGGGATAACAGACGCCGGGGTGGCACCTCTAAACTTTCTGAAGAGGAGAGAGCTGCCAGGCTTCGTGAGATGCTAGAGGATGCTGAGTTGCATGAAGAGCAAAGATGGAAGCGGTTGAAAAAGGCCGAGGAGAACGATACCCGAGAGGCTACAGTGTCCAGCACATCTATTGGCAGAAACTTCTTGGATGCTGCTCATAAAAGCATTTACGGTGCCGAGAAGGGAGGAAGTTCAACAATAGAAGAGAGTGTCCGTCGCAGAGCACATTATTCACAAGGCCGTTATGAATCAGAAAGAAACGCTTTTAGACGATGATGATATTCCTGATAAATCCAGGTATGCACTCCAGCAACTCTATTCATAGGCATGCATGGTTCATGCTATTGTTGATAGTGAATAGTAAGCCGAAATAGAGGTTTTTGGTCAAAAACTGAATTGTAATTATATGTTCAATTTTCAGCTCTCAGCGAGGTTTGAGTTCTTGTTGCACCATTGATTCTGCATGGACCAACATGCTGGTTATGGTCTCACGCGAGGACTAATGCATGAAACAATATCTTTCAGTGGAAGCTTATGTGAACGACTGGTATGTAATTACCCTTAATGTTCAATTATTCAATCGTATGTTTTGGACAAGTTTGAGTTGTGATTTCACAACATTTCCTTTGAAAATCATAGTGCGTCTCAGCAAGGTCCAGAGAGTAAGACTTGAGCGTTATTTTGCTACTCTTTTATCTTAATCGGCCACCTTGCTTTTTTTTTTGTTTGGATGCTTTGGATTTCATGTTTCATCTATGATAATGTAAGTTCTTTGGCTCATTACCATAAGGAAAAAGTTCGGTTGTTTATAGATCGGATAATTTAGAGAGTAACGGTGTACATGTTCGATGTACTTATTGTATACAGTCAATGATCTGGCAAGGACACATCAAAAATGAATTTAAATGACTTTTTTTTGGTAGTCTGGGTGATTACAAAGTAAAATATGTTCATGATCTTTTTTAATCATTGATAATGTACTCATATACCGTACACATAATTATTTGAACTCAAGATTTCATGGGATAAGTTTGAAAGAATGATAAAGAATATTCAGGCCAAATCAAAGGGATCGAAATATAAAAAACGGAAAATAACAAACCCCTAACAATGAAATCTATTAAATTGAGTGGACAGTAGGGTTGCACATAATTCGGATTTCAATCCGATCTGGATCGGTTTTTATCCGATCCGGATCGGTTTTTATCCGATCCGGTTTTTTCCCATAGAAAAAAAACCGGTTTATAAAATAACCGGTTCGGTTTCTAACCGGTTTGGAGGGCCGAATATCTTAACCGGTGTAACCGGTTTCGGTTTTAAAAAAACCGGTTTTTTTAAAAAACCGGTTATAAAAAAACCGATTTTAATATTCCATATTGCTCATAGGGAACCGATTCCCTCCAAGGGGGTACCGATTCCTCACTGAATGGTTTGGTTCCGAGATTTCCAGAATGCTCGGAGGGAACCGATTCCCCCTATTCAACGGTCGAAATATTTGAATTTTACACTTAGGGAACCGATTCCCTATGAGAGGGTACCGATTCCCCCACGCTCTAAGCATTTTTATTAAATGTTTTCACACTTAAACGGCTATATTATCTTCATTAATTATCACTAACGTTCAGAAGTGATTCAAGGTGTATTTAAGCAAGCTTAGAAGTCATTGATCAAAGACAAGAAACATCAAGCAACTAGAATCAAGAGAGAATAAAAGAGAAAGCATCAAACCTCAAGTTCGATAAATTCAAATACTTAATTGAAATACTTAATTAACTCAACATAATTGAAATACTTAAATACTTCCAAGTTTGATAAATTCAAATACTTAAAAACTTCGAAGTTCGATAAATTCAAATACTTAAAAACTTCAAGTTCGATAATTGAAACAAAGTTTACGATAATTGAAATAAAGTTATAAAATAAACTACATTGCCATCTCTTCTTCATCATCTTCGCCTTCTTCGTTTGGAGGGGATATTCCAAGTTCGACTTCTTCAATGTGTAAGTTTGCTTCCAAATCGGCATCAATTGCATCTTCTAGGGTGGTGATATGTTGCTTACGAGCCGCTCCATCCAAATAATCCTTTAAACAAATGCATACTTCCACCGACTCGGGACTTAGTCTTGATCTCCGTTGTGATATAACCCTGCCACTAACAGAAAAAGCGGATTCCGAAGCTACCGTAGAAGCTTGGACGGTTAGTAAATCACGGGCCATGGCGGCTAGAATCGGAAATTGTGCTTCCTTTTCTTTCCACCAAGCCAAAATATCCAAACTTTCAAACTCTTCAAATGTCATTTTTGATAGAAAATCGCATGACATGTAATTTCCCAACTCGCTACTTGGGGTGGTAGTACGTGATCGTTTGGATTGGGAATTTACAAGAGTGTTAAAAAGATTCAAATTTATGTTACTTGGACGTCTACTAGATGATTCCGCATTCATTCTCATTTGATCGTGTATTACACTACTTGATATGTATTTAGTTAAATAAATTGCAAACATGTCTCGAAAACATTTGTTAAAATAATTTATTTGGTTTTGGACAAAGTTGGGTTCATCATCGGTTAGATTAAAAGCAAACGCAATTTGTTCAATTAGTGTTTCAACCCCACCAACATTTAACGTTGGGTTTAAAGCGGCGGCACAAGTAAAAATGGGGGGAATCTCCTTAAAATATTTTAAAAGTTTTTCCTTCATTGCAAAGCCAATTTCTTGAAAAACTTCGGTTTCAAATTCAAAGTCATTTAGTCGGGTAGCCAACAAAAATATTTGATTAAGAACCAACGGGCTAGTAGGGTAATAAACACCGGATAAAAAAGTTGTTGCATTTTTAAAAACCTCAAGCAAATCGGTTATTTTGGCTATAGTTTCCCAACTCGAATCCGGATAAATGTCTGGGACATGACCCCTCTCGAAAAGCCGATCGTGAAATGTTTGCAATGTTTCCCTTTGCCTTAAGGCAGTATGCATCATCATCCAAGTTGAGTTCCAACGAGTTGGACAATCCAAATTAGGACCCAAAGCTTTTTTATTAACAGACTTACAAAATCGTTTATAATCATTTAGTCTTTTGTTGTTGTTACAAAGAATCGATTTTATCATTGTTTTAAATTCTAATCTAATTGGCTCAATAACCTCCAAACCGGCTTGCACGGATAAATTAATTATGTGTGCAACGCAACGGGTATGAAAAACGCACCGTCTAAAATCGGTGAAAGTAATATTTTCAATCTTGGAACCGCGTTTGTATTATTCGATGCATTATCAAAGGATATAGAAAAAATTTTATTTTCTAATTTATAAAGACAAATTACCCGTTTTAAAAGTGTAAATAAATTAGCACCGGTATGCGGCTCACCGAATAATTCAAACGCGATTGTTCTTTTCATCATTTGCCAATTATCTTGATCTAACCAATGTGACGTAACGGCTAAAAAGAATTTCCGGTATTATGAGGGGAACTCCAAACGTCACATGTAAGCGACACACCATAACGGTGTTCTTGGAATCCTAAAATCATTTTTTCCCTCGCCGTACGCCACATTTTTATAGCATCTCTTCTAAGGGTAGTACGACTTACTTGAGTATAACGTGGTTGCATTAGTTGTTGAATTGTTGTCGTGAAATCTTCATCATCAAAGTGGTCGAACGGCAATGCTTTTGTAATCACGAACTTTGTAAACGCTTCTCGTAATTTTTCGTTGTCGTAAACAAAAACACCACCTTGCGGTGTAAGATTCGATTGACTAGGATCCGATCTTGAGCGAAGTGCCTTGCATGATTTTGTCAAATGGTTCTTCAACGTTGTGTTTCCTTCCGATGCAAGAAACTTTAGACAAAGTTTACAACGCGCCCTCCTCGAGCCATTTGACATCTCACATAAATCGTAGTGATCCCAAATATCTTTGTTTCGAGTGTGTTCGATCACTCTCACGACTTCAAGGTTTCCCCCGACGGAAGATTCAGCAGTGTTACTCATGATGAATAAAAAATTACAAAACTAAGATTTGAGAGATGTTTAAGTGTTGTGTAATAAGATTTGAGAAAGTTGTAATCAACCAAATACATCCCCAACCTATTTATACATGTTTAGGATGGTAAAATAGTAATTTTTTAAAGAAAAAAACGGTCAAAAACGGTCACAAACGGCTATATTAACGGCTAGTTTTTTAAACCCAGACCGGTTTTTTTTTCCGGATAAAAACCGGTTTTTTAACCGGTTTTTTTCAAACCGGTTTTTTATTCGGTTAAAAAACCGGTCTGGGTTTTTTTCTCCAAACCGGTTAAAATAACCGGTTTAAAAAAATCCGATACGGTTAAAAAAAACCGGTTTTTCCCAAAACCGATTTCGAATATTTTTTTCGGATATTCGGATATTCGGATTTTTTGTGCACCCCTAGAAACTAGCATATCCTTGTCTTTCTTCAAACAGCCGAGCTTTCCACGCGATATCATCTATACACGTGTGCATGTAGTATTGGTCAGTTCATGTATGGTCGTGCGATGAATACGAGGTGGTCCCCACCTTCTATGAAACTAGTACATATGTCACACTCGCGTCCTATGTCTTCTCCTGATAAATTCAAAAGATTGTAAATTATAGGTAGGTCGAATTAATTGTTTTATTCGAATTTTAATACTAATATTTTAAAAAATATTTTTTAATAATTGAATTAACATTTGAATAGTTAGTAGCTCCAACTCTTAAATTATAATATAAATTTTAGCAGTGTGGTTTTTTAACTTCACAAATAGAATTAAAAATCATTATATATCTCATATTACAAATATTTTTACTCTCGCTTTTTCTTATATTTCGTTTTAGCTTCGCTAATTAAACTAATCGAACTATAATTTTTTTTATTTAATTGATTCATTTTAAATGATATTGATTAAATACTAATATCAAATTCTTTTTAAGAGGTCTAAAGTTTTGGCTTGAAAGGCAAAATAGTAAAGCTAATTGGGGGGGGGGGGAGTTTGCATCACAGTCGCTATTGTTTTGAGATAAAAGTTCACCGACATTACCAGTTTGAATGGCTCTGATTTTATCTCAGATCTAATATATATCTTCTTTTTTATTTATATTTGACGGGTTTAATCTTTGATTACTGAAATTAAATGTTATGATTATCTCTAGTTAAGTTTAATTCATAAGAAGTTTGAATTTGACTTGAAATTTCATTTAAAATGGATCAAATTTTACAAAGTTTAAGTGTTACGACTGAAATTTTTTATATTTTAGTAATTCGGATGGAAACATGATTAAAATTCAATGACTAAACATATGGTTTCTCATCAATTTTTATTACTGTAATATTTCAAAATAAAAGTACACTCTTAGTTCCTAAACTAGTACTTTTCTTCCGTTTTGGCACCTAAACTTTCAATTTTTTCAAAATCATACCTAACGTTTACTTTTGGTTTCATTTTAGTACCCCACCGTTAGATGTTCAGGTATTAAAATGAAACAAAAAGTTAACATCGTGATACTAAAATGAAACAAAAAGTTAACGACGTGTACTAAAATGAGACAAAAAGTAAACGTTAGGTACCGTTTTGTAAAAATTGGAAGTTTATGTACTAAACGGAA